CAGTAGCAAAATGACAGTGATGAAGTAGCAATGAAAATAATTGTATGGTTGGGGGTCACCTCAACATGAGGAACTGTGTGAAAGGGTCGTGGCATTAGGAAGGTTGAGAACCACTGGCCCAGAAGCTTTCCAAACCATGGGGTGGGGGGGGTCGTCTCCCCTTTCAACTTTTAACATGCAGGGACGTTTCTAAAATGTAAGTGTGTGCCCATAGCTTACTTTTCAGCTGGTTCCTAAATGTGCTCTGTGAGAGTAAAAAGTTTACTGCGTTTATATGTTTTTGCCCCATTTATCTTATCCTAGAATTTGGGAGAAGGCTCTACTTTTTCTTGGTTTTGTGTTTACTTTCTTATTATAAATTGGGTAGGGGGTTACATTTCAGATCATCGTCTTTTTTAGTCCACAACTGAAATGACCTCCCACTAGCTTGTCCGGTCCTACATCACTATCCATCTCCCCAGACTGTTTCTTCTCTTCTCCACCTTGAACAATACTCTCTTCCCCTCCGCCCCTCGCTAGTTAACACCTGTCTCCCTTGGAGCCTACTGCTTTCCCCTGCACTCCCTCTCCCTCCCTCCCACTCCCGAGACCCTTCAAAGTTGGTTTCTTTGGGCATGAAAACCTTTGTCTTGCTTTTTGCCTGTACAGCCGTGGCACAGTCACTTTCCTTGTGACTGACTGACATTCCTCAGCATCATGTTCTCCAAACACTTCCAGGTCAGGGTGTTTCCGGTTCATCGTTATTCTTTAACAAGGTGTAATGTTTCCATTGTGTGTGTACCCACACGTCTTTATCCATTCTTGCACGGATGGGCATGCAGGCTGTTTCCATCTTCGGCCACTCGCGAGCAGTGGTGCGGTGAACCTGGGGGTGCATAATTTATCTGTTCGTGCTATGGCTCTTCCTCCTTAGAAGCTTTGTCTAAGCCAGTGGACATGGTCCGTGTCAAAAATCAGTCCATGCTCCCATAGTTCCCTTGGGTGAGTCTGTTTCAGATTTAAGTCTGCTCATCTCAGGGCAGTTTCTTCTGAGGCTGTGCTGTCTGCGTGCTGCTCAGTGGTCTTCCTCCTTAAAGGTTCCAATCCACAGCTCAGTGACTTCTGGCAATGTGGTGGCTCAGGGTGGGGGCGGGGAGAGAGCACAGATGGTTAACACGCTCCACTACTAATCAGAAAGTTAGAGGTTCAGCGTCAGGTTCACCCAGAGGATCTACTCTGACATGAGTCAGGGTTGACTTAGCAGCAACTGATTTCTGGTTTTATCCTTGTGTTACCTCGGGCAGGATAGTGGTGATCTACACCTGGGGCTGGGGGGAGGTTCCCTAGTCTGTGCCCCACTGAACTGGGGGAGCCAGAGTTTGCAAGGGGAACAATGCCTTTCATTGTCTGATCATCCATTAATTCACCCACCTGCTCTAGCAGCATCCTCCTGTGCCAGGTGGTTATATGAGTTTGGAGAGAAGGAAGATCTCTTTGACTGAGGTTTACTTCGGACACAATCCTTCTAAGCAAACCACTGGTGGAGAGAGAGAGAGAGATGAGACCCATCGCCCATTAAATTGTCCCATCTCCCTTCCCTCTCTTGCCTCCGCTTCCCGGGGGACAAGGCGAATCAGGGAGTCAGGCAAACAGCTTTCACGTGTATCGCTTCAGGACGCCATGGAACTAACTCTGCCACCAGCACCGGAGCACGCTCCTTTGGATGGTGGCACCTGCCCTGCTTTCTGGGTTTTCTTGGCCAACCCTTTCACAGAGCTACCTGAAGACCCCGTCTGAGAGTCTGTCGGCTCCCCACAGGAAACCAGACAAAAAGAGTCTCTGGGCTCGAGTTAGTCTTCTGTAAAGGTTATAGTAAACATGTCAATGCCTAATTAAGCAGAAAATTCTGTCGGTGTTGTGGGGGAGGCTCCGGCTGTCTGCGCCTTTTCTTTGGGCACAAAAAAGTAGATGGTGAGGTGGAGCTGGTCTGGGAAGGGCAGCTCCCAAATGTCAGCAGATGACAAAGGAGAGAGAAGCAACAGACTTCTTTCCTCCTGCGTGAAAATGATGCGCATGCGCACACCTCCTGGTGGCATAGTGGCTTATGCGTCGGGCTGCACCACAAGACCAGCGCTGAAACTCACCAACCGCTCTGGGGGAGAAAGATGAGGCTTTCTTACTCCCATAAGGAACGACAGTCTCGGACACCTGGAAAGGCAATTCTACCCTGTCCTACAGTTCGCTGTGAGTGGGAATCCACGCGATGGCAATGGGTTGGATGCGTTTTTATTTCTTTCCTTGCAGTGTGTGTGCAGTCTTCGGGGTTGAGAGCCACACTGTCTGCAGGGAGACTAGTGACCTGCTCCGTGTGCCTAGAAGGTCCTGGGTAATGCCCCTTGTCCTGGTGCACAAGTTTCATCCTCAAAAGTGACCCTATCTGATTAGTACACTTGGCCCAGTTCTTCAAAGTATTTCACTTGGCCCCATAACAACACTTCGCTTAATTTTATAACATAGACACCCTTTTTTTCTGAAGACACCGTGTGACTGGTTTTGCAAGCCTACACATTTATCCAGGGAAAAGAAAACATGATGGCGACTGGGAGGTAGGGGTGTCCCCTGCAATCATTTGGATATTTAAGATGAGGATTGTGTTGTCTTCCAACGGCCACTACCGACAGGTGGCTGTTTGACTGGGTGGAGCAGGGTGGGGCTGTTCAGATCAATTCGTGTAACTAGAGAAACAAGCAGCCCCACTTTCGTGGCACATCACTGTCAGCCTGCTTGGAGACGGAAATGAAAATAGTCCAACACCAATGACTAAAACACGACTCACACAACCGCAGAACTAGTGGCAGGCCAACGTGTGGACAGCTTCATCTTGTTTTGATGGACTCATGACCTTTAACTCTGGGGTAGGCTCTACTTTTCTCCCAATTCTCCCCCACCCCCACCCCCACCGGTGGTGAGCTTCTGAATGCCTATAGATCCCACCACTGTGGTGCCTTCGATCTTTGGATCACGTGGTTAGAGAAAGAGATTGGAGCCTAGTGGTTAAGTCCATGGATTCTGCATCAAACCCACCTGGGTCCACATCACAACTTGACAGTGCTAGGACCAGCTTCTTGACTTTGGAGCCTCAGGGGAGGCTGGGAAATGTGGAGAATAACCGCACCTGCTTTGCAGGGATATTAGAGTGAGACAAAAGGGTGTGCTTCCAGTGATGCACACAGCTCCCAGGGCACAGTGAACCAGCTGCTGTGGAGTCGGCCCGGCTGGCTGTGGGTTTCCATGAAGAGCTGTGCTCCATCTGGTTTTACAAGGAAAACACCAGGCCTTCCTTGGGAGGAAACTCTAGGTGATTGGAACCATGGAGCTTTGGGTTGGTAACTAGGTGCAGTGACCCTGGGCCGCAATTAGGGACTCTAGGGAGGGAGTCCTGGTGGCATAGTGGATTACATGTTGGGCTGCTAACCACAAGGCCGGCAATTCAAAACAACCAACTGCTCCTTGGGAGAAAGATGAGGCTTTCTACTCCTAGGAAGAGTTGCAGTCTCAGAAACCCCCAGGGGCAGTTCTTCCCTGTCCTAGAGGGTCACTGTGATCAGAATTTCCCGGGTGGCAGTGAGTGGTGTGAGGGACCCCAGGACAGAGTTGATGTTCCCTGCATGCTCGCCTTCTCCATCTTCAGACTGTGGAGTGTCCAGCTGCGGCCCCTCATGCCTAACAAAGCCCCATCTCTTCCAACCTCTCTGTCCGCCTTGTGCAACAGGCCTCTGTCCACTGAGCTGTCCCTCCTTTTCCAAACTTCACCTTGGGGAGACGGCATAGCACTGACTCCTCCTCGCTGGTTACTCCCCTGTAGTTGCTTGACACTGAGCGGGAATTAGAACCGGAACCAGGGAGAGCTTGCTTTGACATAGAAACCTAAGGCTAGGTCCCTTTGGCATTTTTTTCCTGGTTTGGCCACCTGGCCAGGTGCAGAAAATGAGCCCCTGGGCATAAACAGCCACGTCACCCACTGTCATTGATGGATAGCCACCCATTAACTCCCTTTGCACCCGCTCTCTCGGGCCTTCATTTCCCCCATGCAATTACGGCTCCTAAATCCTTTCAGGGAAGGGCAGGCTTGCATCCCCAATAGCATTTTGCATCCACAAATCAGATGCATAATTGGCATCTCATGACAGGAACCCACAAATCACGGAACATTTGAAATTACAGGCACAAAATCCAGAGGGCCCTTTCAGCCTTGTCTAGCACGGTCCTCGCAGGCCCACTCAAGAATAATAGACTAGCCCCCAAATCTCCCATTCCAACACCAGTTGCCGTTATTTTTTAAATCATCGGACTTGCTGAACTTACATAACTGTTCAGGTCTCAGTGGAAAATTCCACTTCCGTCTTCCATAATCTCTCAGCCGGCTGTGCACCGCTCCACAGGCAAACACGTGCTAACACAAAGATGGGGTCACTCCAAAACATCATGGCCGCCGCACATCCCAATGACTCTGGAGCGCTCAGAAATTATTTATTCGATGATTACATGCCACAAGAGCCAAGTGTCCTGGAAAACCCGGACCACCGAGGGGCCAAGGGTCAAAGCTTCGCTTTCTCGTTCGCCCACCTCCTTCCCCACAGGGACGTGACTTCAGTAGGATCTGAATTCCAGGCCAGCTTTCCTGAAAGTCGAACCCATGAATTTAGTGCCTGCCCCATGACAGCCCTATGAGAGAGCGCCTCCTTAAATATGAAAATCATGAACGAGGGACTCTGGGCCTTTATAGAGAAGGATGGCTGCTGCCCATTTAAGGGGTCGGGTGGGAGGGAGGAAGCAAGGGGGCCAGGAGGCAATACCAACGACATCATTTGGTTGTGTTCCTGTTTCTAATAGGCTCGCGGTTCATACAAGTGTAGATGAAACTGGGATGCCGTTTGGGAGGGGAGGCCCTTAGCCTCAGGGGGCAATCGAAGCAACCTCTGTGGGCTGCTCCGGGTGTTTCATCTCTTCTTCTTTTGCAGGTTACGCCCAAGAGGAACAGCTCAAGGAAGAAGACGACATAAAAGAAGAGGAGGAGGAGGAGGAAGACAGTGGGTCTGTAGCTCAACTCCAGGGCAGCAATGACCCCGGGACAGACGAGGAGCTAGACACGGGCCCAGAGCACCGGGGCTGCCTCAGCTACCAGAACTCTCCGGGAAGCCATCTGTCCACTCAGGACGCCGAGAATGAATCCCTGCTCAGCGACGCCAGCGACCAGGTATCCGAGGTCAAAAGCGTCTGCGGCCGAGATGCCCCGGATCAGAAAGCCAACCCTCACCCCAAACTCTCCAAGGACACACACAACAACTGCATGGATAAAATGACTGCCGTCTATGCCAACATCTTGTCTGACTCCTATTGGTCAGGCCTGGGCCTTGGCTTCAAGCTGTCCAACAGCGAGAAGCGGGCCGGCGACCCCCGCAACGGTGGCCACAAGAGCGAGTTTGATTGGCACCAGGACGCCCTGTCCAAAAGCCTGCAGCAACACCTGCCTTCCCGATGCGTGTCCAAGCCCAGCCTGTTCAGCTCGGTCCAGTTGTACCGGCAGAGCAGCAAGATGTGCGGGACCGTCTTCACCGGGGCCAGCCGGTTCCGGTGCCGCCAGTGCAGCGCGGCCTACGACACCCTGGTCGAGTTGACTGTGCACATGAATGAGACGGGCCACTACCAGGACGACAACCGCAAGAAGGACAAGCTGAGACCCGCGAGCTACTCCAAGCCCCGGAAAAGAGCCTTCCAGGATGTGGACAAGGAGGACGCGCAGAAGGTTCTCAAGTGCATGTTCTGCGGCGATTCCTTTGATTCCCTCCAAGACCTGAGCGTCCACATGATAAAAACGAAACATTACCAGAAAGTGCCTTTGAAGGAGCCGGTACCCACCATTTCGTCCAAAATGGTCACTCCAGCCAAGAAGCGTGTTTTTGACGTCAACCGCCCGTGCTCCCCGGACTCGACCACGGACTCCTTCTCCGCCCAGAAGAGTTCGGGCCTGCAGCTAGCTTCCAGCAACCGCTACGGCTACCAAAACGGGGCCAGCTACACCTGGCAGTTTGAGGCCTGTAAGTCGCAGATCTTGAAGTGCATGGAGTGCGGGAGCTCCCATGATACCTTACAGCAGCTCACCACCCACATGATGGTCACCGGCCACTTCCTGAAGGTCACCAGCTCGGCCTCTAAGAAGGGGAAGCAGCTGGTGTTGGACCCGCTGGCGGTGGAGAAGATGCAGTCGCTGTGCGACGCCCCGACCAGTGATTCCATGGACGCGAAGCCGTCCAGTAACTCGGCGGCTGACTGCGCGGCCTCCACCACCGAGCTGAAGAGGGAGGACCCAGCGGAGCGGCCAGAGGAAGCCAAGCAGGACGAGAAGGTCACGAAAAGCCAGGAGTACGAGGACCCTCTGCAGAAGCCTTTAGACCCGACGATGAAGTACCAATATCTGAGGGAGGAGGACTTGGAAGACGGCTCGAAGGGCGGAGGGGACATTTTGAAGTCGCTGGAAAACACCGTCACCACAGCCATCAACAAAGCGCAGAACGGGGCTCCCAGCTGGAGCGCGTACCCCAGCATCCATGCCGCCTACCAGCTGTCCGAGGCCGCCAAGCCCGCTTTGCCTATGGGCTCCCAAGTGCTGCAGATTCGGCCTAATCTTGCCAACAAGCTCAGGCCCATCGCGCCCAAGTGGAAAGTCATGCCGCTGGTCTCTGTGCCCACAAACCTGGCCCCCTACACACCGGTGAAGAAGGAGATGGGAGACCGAGATGACGTCTCGAAGGAGTGTGGGAAGGAAAGTCCCCGCAAAGAAGCACCGTCTTTTAACCACGGCGAAGGGGAGTCTTTCGCCAAAAGCGAGCCCCCTGTGGAGTCCAGAAAGGCTGAGCCTGGCGCCCAGGGTGTGGAGGCGGACAAGCTGATGAAAGAGGGCGGTGAGAAGGAGAAGTCTCAGTCCTCGGAGGCCACCTCGCTCAGCAACGGCTGCGCCCTCACCAACCCCGCCGCGGTGGCCCTGCCCTGCATCAACCCGCTCAGCGCCCTGCAGTCCGTCCTGAACAATCACCTGGGCAAAGCCACCGAGCCCATGCGCTCACCCTCTGGTGCCAGCCCCAACTCAAGCACAGTCCCCATGTTCCACAAGCCCAGCCTCGGCGTCCTGGACAAGCCGGTGTCGAGCCCTGCTTCCACGAGGCCCGCCAGTGTGTCCCGGCGCTACCTGTTTGAGAGCCATGACCAGCCTATCGACCTCACCAAGTCCAAGACCAAGAAAGCCGAGTCCTCCCAAGCCCAGTCCTGCACGTCCCCACCTCAGAAGCACGCTCTGTCCGACATCGCCGACATGGTCAAGGTCCTCCCCAAGGCGACCACCCCAAAGCCCGCCACGTCCTCCAGGGTCCCTCCCCTGAAGCTGGAGATGGACGTCCGGCGCTTTGAGGATGTGTCCAGCGAAGCGTCGACCCTGCACAAGCGAAAAGGCCGGCAGTCCAATTGGAACCCTCAGCACCTTCTGATTTTGCAAGCTCAGTTTGCCTCCAGCCTCTTCCAGACGTCTGAAGGCAAGTACCTGCTGTCCGACCTGGGCCCGCAAGAGCGGATGCAGATCTCAAAGTTCACGGGGCTCTCAATGACCACCATCAGCCACTGGCTGGCCAACGTCAAGTACCAGCTTAGGAAAACAGGCGGGACCAAGTTCCTGAAAAACATGGACAAAGGTCACCCCATCTTTTATTGCGGTGACTGTGCCTCTCAGTTCCGAACCCCTTCGACCTACATCAGCCACTTAGAATCTCACCTAGGCTTCCAAATGAAGGACATGAACCGTATGGCCGTGGAACAGCAAAGCAAGGCGGAGCAAGAGATCTCCCGGGTATCGTCGGCTCAGAGATCTCCGGAAACAATAGCTGGCGAAGAGGACACGGACTCTAAGTTCAAGTGTAAGTTGTGCCGTCGGACCTTTGTGAGCAAACACGCAGTCAAACTCCACCTAAGCAAAACGCACAGCAAGTCCCCCGAGCACCATTCACAGTTTGTAACAGGCGTGGATGAAGAGTAGCTCTGCAGGTATGGGTTTGCTCCCAGGTGACTGGGGACAGTGGCCTTGTGAGGAGCTTCTCCCAGGGAGACGGGTCTGCTTAGAGGCAGCCGACGTCTCCCAGAACCCTTGCAGGGTGGTGGCTTGCTGGACTAGGACTTATTTCTAATGAGAAGCCAGAACGTGAAACATTAAGTCCCTAGCCACTCCCGTTTGCCCCGTTGACAGTTGGGGGAGGCTAGCGTGAGATGCGTGTAGAGACAAGGGTCGTAGAGGAGGGCTTCTTTTCGGCCTTCCTGACACCAAGCTCCTTGGTTGGGCCAGGGAGTAGGTACTAACTACTCTCCCACCCCCATCCCATGCCACTAGCCCACCTTCCCACGGCCATGCAATGGCTCCACACCTGACTGCCAAGTGAGCAGCAGGGTAAAGATGGGAGAGTTTTTAGGGACCGCCGCCGTATCCTGAGATGTGTTAACCAGCTCAGCGCGTGGGTAGCTTCACATTGTCTTTATAAACCTTCCTTGTAATGAATGCTTCTTGCAGCTCCCGTTCAACTATGACTCCCCTCCACCCCTTGCCCTTTGCTTATAGCCTGCATTACGTTTCCTGTAAGGGGATGGGAAAGAAAAATAGATACATAGATACACAACACACGCACACACATACACATATAGATTCTTCTCTGCAGAACCTTTAGCTGAAGTGAGGAGAAGCTCCTTGCCTTCTCGGGCCGTTGGTTTGCCTTTCTCCGTGTAACAAATAGTGCTGCATGCATGCTCGCATGGTCGAAGTCCACACAAAGAAACCCATGCTTTTCCAAACACCCATGTGCTCACATGTGTGGGACGCCTGGGTCTCGGGAACGTTTGCATCCTGTATCATAGAAGTTCTGCCCCCCTAGAGTCATCCACAATCACATCCTCTCAGTCACCAAAAGCAAAGAGGACAGAGGCCAAGGTCAAACGCCCTGGGCAGATGGGTCCCACCAGTCACGTCCAGCGTCCACCATAACCAAAGCTAGGTCTTTCCAAATCTCTCCTAGTTCCCTACATGTATCTCCTCTCCTCTCTAGCACGGCACCACCACATTCCAGTGGCCCTCACACATGTCCTGGTGCGCCCCCCACCGCACACCCCGGGTTCCACGTTTGGCGGGGACCTAACCTGCATGAGACCGTCTGCACCTCCCAGTCCAGGTTATGTCCTGCTAGGTTACAAAGGAGCCCTTTGAGTGTAATCACAATAGGAGCTGCTAACAGCAGCTCCACAGGCTAGCCCTGATGCCCCCTCGTGTCCGAGCATCTGTCTTTACATGGGAGGTGTCCAGCGCCGGTCACCGATGCCTGTAAGTCGGATACCTCTGAGCCCTAGACCGAGTGGCTCTGGGCTGGGCTCCCAGTAGGTAGGGTGGTTTACCGTGCTTGATGATGGGCGAAATGGAATAAAGTAGCTGAAATGTCTGATCTGGGACTTTTCCCTGGGTGAGGAGATCTAAGTGTTTTTGATTGTGGGGGGAGGGAGGGGAGCATCCTAGCACTTGAGCAGCGATGGGCCCCTTCTCCTTTTGTTTGCACATGAGTCTCTCGCGATAATTAAAACGTGTGGCCTGCTGGGTCCAACCCTTGTTTTCCGGGCATGATTTGTTCAGCTCACACTATTGAAAGAAGAGCCAAAGTGAATCTTCTAAAATCCGTAACGTGCGTGAGCTTGAGGCCCCCCCGCGATGTCCTATTTATTTGCTATATAACATTTCACTTTTTATGTAACTTGCTCTTATGCTTTTTTGATCCTTTGGGGGTGGGGGTGGGGGGGAGAAGAAGAAGAGGTGGATGTAGACAGAATACCAAAAGAGACATTTAAAATCTAGAATGTCTAGGAGCATAGTTCCTACCTGTGCTGGGGGAGCGGGGGGCGGGGGGTAGGTCATGTTCATTTGTGTTGCAATAAAAACCGATTTTCCACCTGTTAGGTTTGTAATCATTTTTTTTAATCAATAGCACTGCCAAAGTGTTGTGATATGTAAATGAAAAGAGGGGAGTGAGAACGGGTGGGGGGTGGTTGAAAGAAAGAAAAGAAACGGGGTGAAGCTTACATCTTCCCAGACTTCTGGGGAAGCAAGGCAACCCAATAATTTGGGGAGAGCGGAACAAGAGACCCAAAAGGTACTTCCTAATCAGTTCAATAATGTCGACAAGCTAGCCCTGTCGCCACCTGTCGGCAGGTGTGCAGCATCACTGTGACAGATACGAACCGTCGCAGCACCCTAAGGCAGCAGCATCCTGAAAGCCAAGCCGATGCTTTTTCTTTCTCGAAATAAGTACAACGTTGTTCTGGTTCTGAGAGAGGATTAAAGGAGAGAGGTTTGAGGATGGGGGACTCATTCAAAGAAAATGGGGTGGACTGGTGTTGGGCGTGAAACCACGGCCACGCTGGTGCTGTGTGGGGGGTGAGATTTCCAGGCAGCCTGATGCTTGGGTCACCCAGGGGGAAATGCCGTGCCCCTTACATTGGTTTCTGAGAGCCAGGTGGGCACACTAACTTGCCTGCTGATAATGACGCTTGTCAGTGTGGCCATCAACCGAGGCCTCTGGTCCCTGGCTCCAAGGGAGAGCAGTTTGCATGACGACCCAACCATGCAAAACACCCTGGTATTTCAGAAAGCCTGGTCCAGATCTGTGGAGAACGTGGTGCTTTATCTCACCTAAGTGTCCTGGGAGACACAGGTTTGGAGCTGGAGTTTGTGCACCTATCTTAGACGCCTCTTCACCCTGCAAAGGAGGCTCTGACAACTAATAGATGCACCTGTCCTGGAAAAGTGAATTCAAGCCTATCACATGTGCATCCCTGTTCTAGAACTGTCTGTGTCTAAGTATATCTTGGAAAGCCACTTGCTCTTGAAAGGGTGAGACTAAGCAGAGGGCAAATTGATGTGTGTGTGGTGCAAAAGGGAGAAAGACAGAGCTTTCTACTCCCATGACGAGTTACAGTCTCAGAAACCCACAGGGGCAGGTCGACTCTGTCCTACAGGGTGGCTGTGAGTCGGAATTGACCCCATGGCAGTGAGAGATGCAAAGGGGTGAAGGTCAACATCCTCACCAGGTAGTACAATGGACACTCAACAGTACGTGCTCAACAGCACACCTGGCCTTAGAATGGGTGATGAGGATGAATGCCGGTCCAAGGGGCTGAGACTGTTTCGTAGAAAAAGATGTTCAGGCACCAGCGTAGGGCTGGCAGGTGAAACCGAGGACACCTAGTTGAATTTGAATTTCAGATGAACACCAAATAAGGTTTTAGTGTAAGCTGGTCTGGACAAAGCCGCTGGCAGTTCAGAGACAGAATTCTTGCCCCCAATACAGGAGACCGGGTTCAATTCCCACCCGACCAATGCACTTCCTCTAGGAGCCTGGTGGCGCAGTGGGTTACAGGTTGGCCTGCTAATTGCAAGGTCAGCGGTCGGAAACCACCAACCTCTCTCTTGGAAAAGAGACTTTCTATGCCCTTAAAGATTTATGGTCTCAGGAACCCACGGGGTAGTTTTATTCTGTCTTTTCAGGTTGCTATGGGTCCGAATAGCAGTGAGCTTGGGGTTGGTTTGTTTGTTTTATTCCAATTGTTGCATGAGCCATACTCAGGCAGAAGGAAAGAAAAGAAAGATGCCCATGCTGAATTTCCAATTTAACTGGGTCTGTTATATTTTAATATGGACCCTGAAAACATGAGTTATATAAGCTGTCCTGACCCAAGTGATATTGGAAAGAGGCATCAGCCATTTCTTCATCTGTTCAATATGTCTATGCTCCTTCCCTCCTCCCTCCTCCCTCCTCCCTCCCTCTTTCCTCCTCCCTCCTTCTCTCTCCCCTGTGTTCCTTTCATCCTTCAACAAATACGGGTTCTGCTTCCACGACACCCCAGACTCTGGTTAACAGTGCCAGCAGCCCTGCCAACCATGGCATCCGAATGCTGCAGGTGTTATGCCCCAGGCCAGGGCTCCACAGGTGGCATGTCCCTGGATTCTCACAAGCAGTGCTACCACGTAGGGCTTAGTCCCACCACGTAAGAGGAGGAAGTGGAGAGAGAGGGTTTCTGCGTGACTTTGCCAAGGCCACACAGTCTCTGAAACTCATTCACCCATCACACACCCAGCAAGCTGTCACTCCGTGCCCAGCACTCTGCCAAGCTCAGGGAATGGGCGGCCAGGCCAGTGGCAGACACAAGGAGGAGTAACTCTGAGAGCAGCCCTGGATGGAGCCGTGGTCACATGGGCTGTGTGTGGGTGTGTTTGGGGGGTGGGGTGAGGAGAAGCACTCTGGCCCAGGGAGCATCTGGCCTGCCTTCACACCCTATCTCTAAGATGTGGCCAAAGCTGCTGGTCTGACACAGGGTGGCCGTAGTGTGCTGAGCAGAACCACTCCCTAAGCTTTTCAAAGCTGTGCCTTTTCAGAAGCAGTTAGGCAATCTGGTCTTCTGTGGCACCTCTGAGTGGGTGTGAACCCCAACCTCTCAGCTCTGTCCCAGTGCTTAACCACTGACACCTCTCTCTAAGGTGCACCCCACTTTTCCAGCTATGAAATGCAGACAGCAATGTCCCTCTCCAACTATGAGAATTAAACGAATGCATGAAGTCTTTTCCCATGAAGCTTGCAGGTTCTTTCCAGGTTGAATTGCTTAATACCTGGGGAGGTGCCCACCTGCCGTTCCATGAGGATGCTCACCAGGACAGCAGAGTTGCCTCATGTTGGCCTCTCCCTGTGAGCCAGGACTTCCAGTGCATCTCATCCTCCCTCTACAGCAGATCCACAGACTCGGGACTTGTCCAGTCAAATACTGGCGACTCAGGAGGGGCCCCGGTGTCGTAGTAGGTAATACACGAGGCTGCTCACCTTGAGGTCAGCAGTTGAGACTCACCAGCTGCTCCTCGGGAGAAAGATGAGGCTTTCTACTCACGTAAAGAGTCAACAGTCTCGGAAACTCCCAGGGCAGGTCTCCTCTATCCAATAGACTCACTGTGAGTCAGAATAGCCAACGGCTTGAGCTTTTGTTTGGTTCTTTTTTAGTCCCAGAAGCCTGGGACTGACCCGCAAGGTGAATCAAACTGCTCCTCTGTTCAGTCAAATGAAACCTAATATCACAGTGGTTTACGCAGTGAGCTGCTAACCACAATGTCAGTAGTTTGAACTCACCAACAACTCTTCAGAAAAAAAGATGAGGCTTTCTGCTTCCATGGACATACAGTCTCAGAAACTACTGGGGCCCTTCTGCCTGCCCCACAGGGTCCCTTTGCGTCAGAATGGACTCGGGGCAATGAGTTTGGGAGTTCACTTAGGTAATTTATACATTAACCGTGTTCCCCAACTTCTAGGGAAAATACATACGATTTTTAAAAAATCATTTACTTGGGGGCTCATACAGCTCTGATCACGATCCATACCTACATCCATGTGTCAAGCACATTTGTATATATGTTGCCATCATCATTTTCAAAACATTTTCTTTCTACTTGAGTCCTTGGTATCAACTCTTTTTTTCCCCCTCCCTCCCATACATAAGATTTTATTTTCAATGCTCCTCCTGACGCTTGAGGATTTATATTTTAGAGGCAAAATGTGACTCCGGAGATGAGGTCGGGCACAAGGAAAGGAGAAACAGGCTCAGCATGTCTTCAATGCTTCCTGTGGACCCCAGAGGCCTGCCACCCCTCCCGGCGGGCCCTGGGGCTCCGTCTCCATCTTGATTCCCCCGCCCCCAGGGTTGGCCATCTGAATGCTCGGCCTTGACGGGGTAGTGTGGCGCTTTCACACAGAGCAACATGATTTTTCATTCACTCCAATCTGCCATCAGTGTCGTCTTTTCATTTAACCAGATGCAATCCTTTCTCTTTCTCTTTTTGTATTTCACGTACACCCCCCCCCCCCCGCCGCTAAATTGAAAATCCATGAGCGACAGGGAGTGCCGTGTTTTAATTAGCTCATATTTTTATATGGATTTATGTCTTTGAAATGCATTTGTGTAATTCTTCAGTGAAATTAAAAACGTCTTTCTGAGCGAAAGAGGAGGGGAAACCGCAGAGCACAAGCTCATGTCCTGAGCAGGAGAGGATGCAGACGTGACCAGGGGTGACCTTATTCACCTGAGGGAGCCAGCCCAGGCCCAGGCCTAGGCCTGCTCCCTGGGCCGGTTTTGAACTTGCCCTTCCTCTAAGGAAGCCTTTCTCTGTGGAACACGGAGGCCTGGGGCGGAGTGCTGATGCCTTGGCCTGCTCACCTCAAGGTCAGCCCTTGGAAAGCACCAGCTGCACCAAGGAGAAAGATGAGGCTTCCTACTCCCAGGAAGATTTCGTCTCAGAAACCCCCCGGCAGCTCTGCCGAGTCCCGCAGGGTCTCCGAGCCAATCGCCTTGATGGTGGTGAGTTGGATGTCTTTTCGATTTTTCCCGATAAAGACTTCAGGGCACTAGCTTGGAGAGAGGTTCTCAGATAGTCCGCTCATTAAGGCAAACAAGCAGTTACCTCCAGCCATCTCATTTGAAACCCAACAAAACAGAAGAGAACGAAGAAGAAAAAGCAATCATTGTGATAAACAGTTTTCTCTGCATTTTTCCCTGTCTCGCTCTCTTTTTTTTAAACGATCAAGTTTGAAGCTTCCACGATGCTTCTTCCCCCCTTCTTCTTCTTCTGTTCTGCTTTATAGGAGACAAGTGACATTCTGTGGTAAACGGGAGACACAGCCACGCAGAACCGCGCTCCGTCTAATGCGTTGACACTAACTTGCCCTCTATTGTTGGGAATGAGCAGGG